AAAAAAGGGAAAAAAAAAAAACGGTCACGGAACCAAAAAGAAAAAGAAAAAGACTGTTCACGGTACAAAAAGAAAGAAAAAGAAAAAGAAAAAGACCGGTTCACGGTACAAAAAGAAAAAAAAAAAGGAAAAAAAAGAAAAAAGAAAAAAAGACGGTTCACGGTACAAAAAGAAAAAAAAAAGAAAAAAAAAGACGAACGCGTTTCACGGTACAAAAAAAAGAAAAAAAGAAAAAAAGATGGTTTCATGGTACAAAAAGAGGAAGAAAAAAAAGGAAAAAAGAAAAAAGACGGTTCACGGTTACAAAAAGAAAAAAAGAAAAAAAAGACGGTTCACGGTTACAAAAAAGAAAAAAGAAAAAAAGGATCGTTTTCGCACGGGTACCAAAAAAAAAGAAAAAGGAAAAAAGATGGTTCATGGTACAAAAAGAAAAAAAAAAGGAAAAAAGAAAAAGACTGGTTCACGGTACAAAGAAGAAAAAAGAAAAAAGAAAAAAACCGTTTCACGGTACAAAAAGAAAAAAAGAAAAAGAAAAACAAGGTTTCTACGGTTACAAAAAGAAAAAAAGTCAAAGGAAAATACGGTCAAGGGTACAAAAAAAAAGGAAAAAAAAAAAACAAGGTTTTCACGGGTAAAAAAAAGAAAAAAAAAAGAAAAAGAATAGACAGGTTCACCGGTACAAAAAAGAAAAAAAAAAGGAAAAAGAAAAGACGGTTCACGGTATTTAAAATAAAAAAAAAAAAAAAAAAAAAGAGAAAAAGGAAAAAGACGGTTTCCACCTTCACCGGTTTTTTTTTTATATATTAAAAAAAAAAAAAAAAAAAAAAAAAAAAAAAAAAAGACGGTTTCACGGTTTACAAAAAGAAAAGAAAAAAAAGAAAAGGACGCGTTCCACGCGTACAAAAAGAAAAAAAAAAAAAAAGACGGTTTCACGGTAAAAAAAAAAAAAAAAAAAAAAAAGCATGGTTTCATGGTACAAAAAGAAAAGGATAAATGAAAAATGAAAAAGACGGTTCACTACAAAAAGAAAAGAAAAAATGTAAAAAAGGAAAAAAAAAAGACGGTTCACGGTACAAAAAGAAAAAAAAGGAAAAAAGAAAAGAAAAAGACGGTTTCACGGTACAAAAAGAAGAAAAAGAAAAAACAGGTTCACGGTACAAAAGAAAAAAAAAGAAAAAAAAGGAAAAAGACGGTTCACGGTACAAAAAAAAAAAAGCAAAAAGAAAAAAAAGACGGTTCACGGTACAAAAAAAAGAAACAAAGGTTCACGGGTACAAAAAGAAAAAAAAGGGAAAAGAAAAGTAAAGACGGTTCTCGCGCTACCAAAAAGAAAAAAAAAGAAAAGAAAAAAAAACAAGCGTTCACGGTTTGCAAAAAGAAAAAAAAGAAAGAAAAAAAAAACAAGGTTCCACGGTACAAAAAAAGAAAAAAAGCCAAAAGAAAATGTAAAAAGACGGTTCAAGGTACAAAAAGGGGGGAAAAAAACAAGGTTCACGGTACAAAAGAAAAAAGCAAAAAGGAAAAGAAAAAGACGGGTCACGGTCGTTCAGGTCATATGTTGAGCTCTTCACAACTCGGGCACGATTTTTTCCCGTGTGAAGGCGCCGGATAATCAGAGAAGAGTAGCAGTATTTTCCTTAAATTAGATTTTTTTTTTCTTCTCTCTCCTCTCTCTCTCTCTTCTCTTCTCTCTCTCTCTCTCTCTTCACTCTCTCTTCTCCCTCTCTCTCTCTCTCCTCTCTCTCTCCCTCTCTCTCTCTCCCTCTCCCTCCCTCTCTCTCTCTCTCTTCTCTCTTCCCTCCCTCTCCCTCTTTTCTCTCTCCTCCCTCTCTCTCCCTCCCCTCTCTCCCTCTCCCTCTCTCCCTCTCTCTCTCTCCCTCCTCCCTCCCTCTCTCTCTCTCTCTCTCTCCCCTCCCTCTCCCTCTTTCTCTCTCCCTCCCTCTCTCTCCCTCCCTCTCTCTCCCTCCCTCTCTCTCCCTCTCCCTCTCTCCCTCTCTCTTCTCTCCCTCCCTCTCTCTCCCTCTCCCTCTCTCCCTCTCTCTCTCTCCCTACCTCTCTCCCTCTCTTCCCTCTCTCTCTCTCTCCTCACACATAAACTAACCTAGAAAGTTATTAACCGTAATTGCAATTATATATAACCGAATCCTAAGATATTTTCCTGTTTGCATATCCCACGTGTTTCGCAGAATTCACAGCTGGAGAAACATTTTCCGAGAATATAATATATCCGTGATTCAAGAACTCGTTTTTGTTGCGTCAGATGGAAGCACTGAAGCAGTTCTTTTCGTTTCTTTAATTCTCTTTCTCTCTCTCTCTTTCTTTCTCTTTCTCTCTCTCTCTCTCTCTCTCTTTCTCTATCTATCTATCTCTCCCTCCCTTCCTCCCTCCCTCTCTCACTCTCGAGCGTTCTTGTAATTCCAACCTATGAATCCAGATGCAGACGAAACGCATATCCACGAACGCAACTGAACCGCTGAACTTTGCGTCTAAAAATATCCAAGTTAAGCTCCGTAATTCATTTCTTATCACGCAGTCTTACCCGTGTTTATATATCTTTGATTTTTAGTGATTTTCTTTTTCTTACTTAGAGCTTGATAGAGAATTGATAAACTGAATTAAAAGAAGGGGAAAGGCTAGATCAGTAGCAATTCGAGGTGTCATGGCGTCTGATACTTTTTTTTTTTTTTTTTTTTTTTTTGAAAAAATAAAACACATGGGGTTTATTTTGATGACGTCACAAAGGTTACGGATTTTTCGTGAACACGGTCGATCATTTTGATCTTTTAAATTTTCAAAAAAGGATGGAAAAATGATGTTTTTTAACGGTTCTATTTTCATTGAACGATCATCAAAACAGACGCCATGACACCTCCTCGAGTTGCTGCTGATCTAGCCTTCTCTCTTCTCTTAATTCAGTTTATCATCGGTTCTCTATCAAGCTCTGTCATCGGGGAATACTAAAAATCAAAGATATGTAAACACGGTTAAGATTGCGTCACAAGAAATGAGTTTACGGAACTAAACTCTGATATTTTTAAAGGCAAAGTTCAACGGTTCAGTTGCGTTCGTGGATATGCGTTTCGTCTGCATCTGGATTCATAGGCTGAAATTACAAGAACGCTTGAGAGTGAGAGAGAGAGAGGAGAGAGGGAGGAGAAGGGAGAGAGGAGAGAGAGAGAGAGAGGAGAGAGAGAGAGGAGAGGGAGAGAGGAGAGAAGAGAGAGAGAGAGAAGGGGAAGGGGGGGGAGGAGGGGAGGAGAGGGAGGGAGAGAGGGAGCGAGAGAAGAGAGAAGAGAAGAGAGAGAGAGAGAGAGAGAGAGAGAGAAGAGAGAAGAGAGGAGGAAGAGAGAGAGAGAGAGAGAGGGAGGGAGGGAGAGAGGGACGAAAGCGAGGAGGAGGAGAGATAAAGAGGGGGGGAGGGAGGGAAGGAGAGAGAGAGAGAGAGGAAGAAGGGAAAGAGGGGGTAGGATGAGAGGAGAGAGAGGAAGGCAGACTGAAAAGACAGACAGACGAACAGAAAAAGAGAGGAGGAGAGTGAGAAGAGGGAAAGAAAAAGAAAAAAAAACAGAGAGAGAGAGAAAGAAAGAGACAACGAACAAAAACAGAGAATGAGAAGAGAGAGAAAGGGGGGAGGGTGAAGGACAGATGAACAGAAACAGAGAGAGGAGGGAGAGGGGAGAAGAGGAAAGAGGAGAGAGAAGAGACGAACGGAAACATGTTGAGAGCGGAGAGAGAAGGGGGGGGAGCAGACGAACTGAAACAGAGAGAAATAAAGAGGGTGAGAGAGAGAGAGAGAAAAGAGAGAGAGAGAGAGAGAGAGAGAGAGAGAGAATAGAAAAGAAATGGAAACAAACGGAGTAAGAGAGAGAGAGACAGACAGAGAGGAAGCAGTTAACAAACAAAGAGAAACTAAAAAAAACCCAAACCATTATTCCCAAATTATATACTCTCGCCTCCTCCTTGAAATACGAGAACCCACTCATATGGCAACATCACCAAACAACATGCATGATTGTTCTGTTTCATTTTTCTTCTTCTTCTTCTTCTTCTTTTATTTCTTCTTTTTCTGTTTCACTGTTCAGGTCTCATGGTGACTCAGCTGTTCAAGAAGAAGAAACAGTTAATGGGTATTGCTTGCTCTTCGAAATTGAGGTTAGGAAAGGTGATGGGTATTATATTAAACGACTGATTTTATGTTGATAGACTTGTACCTTTATTAATGATAAAATTGAACGCAGGTGGCTTTCGTTTCTGTTGCTGAAATCGTTAAAAAAAATGTATATAAAGATAAATAAAGAAAGAAACAATAAGAGGATAAGATAGGTAAGATATAAATCAAGAGATTAAGATAATATCGGATATCAATCTTATGTTTTTAACCGCTGTTATTATCATCTATTATTATCAGTAATCTTATATTACTTTTTTTTTCTTTTACTTTATAGATACGCTCCCTCTTCTTCCCGCCACCTCCGCCGTGGGAATCAGCTGATGCCGTGACGTAGGAGGAAATGCATGTCACGTGACCCAACTCTGACTGGTTCTGCGGTGACGTCACAGCTATATTTTCCCCCTATTTTCTATTTTGTTATTTTCTGTTCTTGTTTTTTTTCTCTAGTTATTTCTTTCACTCTAGTTATTTGTCTCTTTCTTTCTCTCTGTTTATCTATCTATACCTACCTCTTTTTGTATCTCTCTCTCTTTCTCTCCCCTTCATCACTCTCCCATCTTATCTCTCTCTCTCCTTCCTACATCTCTCTTCTTATCTCTCTCTCTTCTCTCTCTCTCTCTCTCTCTTCTCTCTCTCTCTCTCTCTCTCTCTCTCTCTCTCTCTCTCTCTCTCTCTCTCTCTCTCTCTCTCTCTCTCTCTTCTATCTCTCTCCCCCTCTCTCCCTCCCTCCCTCCCTCCCTCCCTCCCTCCCTCCCTCCCTCCCTCCCTCCCTCCCTCCCTTCCCTCCCTCCCTCCCCTCCTCCCTCTCCTCCCTCCCTTCCTCCTCCCTCCCTCCCTCCTTCTCTCTCTCTCTCTCCTATCTCCCTCTTCTTATCCCTCTCTCCCTCCCCTCTCCTGACCCCTACCTGGCACCCTTACCCCCGAGGACGTACCCCGTTGGCACCCTCCCCAGGCACTCCCACGTGGCACCATGACTGTCACTTACACCCACGAGGTCGCTGACTGCAAGGGATTCGGAAATTTTTGGCGTCTGCTCTTCAGGTGGGTGAATTTTGCTTTTTATTTTTTTTCTTATTATTATTATTCTTTGTTTGTTTGTTTCCTTCTTTTTTTCTTTTTTTCTTATTCTTTTCTTTGTTTCTGTCTTTCTGTCTTTCTTTCTTTTTCTTTTTCTTTTTAGTATTATTATTATTATTATTATTATTATTATTATTTTCCTTTTTCCTTTTCTTTTTCTTATTATTATTATTATTATTATTTATTATTATATTTTTCTTTTCTTCTCCATTTTCTTCTTTTTGTTCTTTCTTTCTTCTTCTTCTTCTTCTTCTTCTTATCATTGTTTTATTCTTCTTCTTCTTCTTTCTTCTTCTTCTTTCTTCTTCTTTTCTTTCTTTCTTTCTTTCTTCTTTCTTTCTTTTCTCTTCTTTCTTTCTTCTTTCTTTCTTTCTTTCTTTTCTCTCTTTCTTTCTACTTCTTCTCCTTCTTCTTCTTCTTCGTCTGCTTACTCTTTCATTCTCTCTGTCTTTTTAGGGGATGGGGGGTATAGGATGGGTAGAGGTGTGGGGGGTGTGTGTCAGGGGGGGTATGTACGTGCGTGGGCGAGTGTACGTGTGGGTATGTTTAGCCGGATGTGGAGTTTGTGCTTGTGTGTCGATTGGGTGGGTGTGTGTGTGTGTGTGTGTGTGTGTGTGTGTGTGTGTGTGTGTGTGTGTGTGTGTGTGTGTGCGTGTGTGTGTGTGCGTGTGTCGAGTGGGTGGGTCCGTGTGTGTGCGTGTGTGTGTGTGTGTGTGTGTGTGTGTGTGTGTGTGTGTGTGTGTGTGTGTGTGTGTGTGTGTGTATGCGTGTGTGTGTGTGTGTGCGTGTGGTGTGTGTGTGTGTGCTGTGTGTGTGTGTGTGTGTGTGTGTGTGTGTGTGTGTGTGTGTGTGTGTGTGTGTGTGTGTGTGTGTGTGTGTGTGTGTGCTTGTGTATATTTGCATTTGTCTATGAATATATCCCTCAATACACCAACTTTTATCAAAATCATCTATCTCTCTGTCTATTTCTATAAACCTACGTCATAATAAAACTAATTATGATAACACGAAGGCCTACGAATAATAAACACAACAACGGTAATAATAATAATCACGATATTTATAAAGACAATCGGAAAAAAAAAAAGATATCAGTGACAGTAATGAGAATTATGCAAATACCGATTATCATACGCGTGTGCTTGGGTCTTCCTTATCTCCCGCGGTGTCTGATGAAAACAGCTGTTCTCGAGTATGAAAAAAGAGAAAAAAACAGCTATTCTTGAATTAAAAAAAGGTGTTCTCGAGTTGGAAAAAAAAAACAGTTGTTCATGACAAAAAACAGGTGTTCTCGAGTAAAAAAGAAGAAGAAAAAAACAGCTGTTCATGAATAGAAAAAAAACAGGTGTTCTCGAGTTTTAAAAAGAAAAAGAAAAAACAGCTGTTCGTGAGTCAAAAAACAGCTGTTCTTGAACCGTGTTGCAGGGAAGGCAGTGACCGCGCCCACGAACCACTCCGTTCCTCATTTTCTGAAGGCCATGGATCGATTGAAGTGTATTTAATCGTGTAGACAACTATAGTTTTACTTGTGTGCATGTATAAGCATGCAAATACACATGCATACACAAATAGACACACATGCACACACACACACACATATGTAAATAGATATACATACATAGATATGTATTTAGTGTGTGCTTGTGTGTGTTCATGGGTGTGTATGTATATATATTATATATATATATATATATATATATTATATATATATATATATATATATTATATATATACATATATATATATATATATTATATATATATAATATATATATTATATTCGCACAAGCGTATATACAAACACACACGCACTGCACCTGCACCCAGCCCCCCAAACGACCCACGTGACCTCGACCTCGGCGGCAGGAGCACCCCCAGCCGCCCCAGTCGCCCCAGGGCAGCGCCGAGAGAGCTCTTCCCTCCACCATCTCAGCCTCTGTTTCATGGTGGTCAGAGCAATATTTCATGGTAATGTTATGTATTAGGCCGCGCTGGGCTGAGGGATGCAGCTGCAATTATCTGCACTTTTGCAATGGAGAAATCGGGTGAGGGTTTTTTTTTCGGGATGACTTGTATGTGTTCAGGAATATGCGATTGTACTGTAGAAAAGGTATGGATGAGAATGGATATCTTCACACTACAGGAGATGTATCTGAGAGGTATCGAATATATCCATCTATCTATGTGAATAGATAGATGGATAGATTGATGGATAGGTAGATTGATATATAGATAAACTGATGGATAGAATGATAAACAGACAGATAGAATGATGGATAGATTGACTGATAAATAGACAGATAGATAGATAGACAAATAGAGAGACTGACAGATATATAGATATAAGGATAGATTGACAGTCAGATAGATAAATAGATAGATAGTTATAGATCTCTTAAGGTACCATAACCTTTCAGGATTTTGGCAATCATGGCTCTCCACTGCTTTCCGTTTCTTGATGTTTTGAGCAAATCCGAAGACAAAATCTTGTTCTTTTTCTCAAACTGTAACTTGCTCTTTCGTCCAGATTACAGGCTTTCCAAATATGTTGTGAGTCGATTTCCTTTTGCCTTCTTGCCTCCAGTCCATCCTGTAAGACTGAAGTTCTCAAAAACCTTCTCTTTCTCAGTACATGTCCCAGAAACTCGAGCTGCTTTTTCCTGGTGGTTTTCAAGAGTTTTCCTTCTTCACCTCAACATCCTCAACACTCCCTCATGTCCTGTGTAGTGCAGTGGTTAGTGTGTTGGTCTAGCAATCTTGCAGACCTGCTTTCAATCCCGCGAGCTGCCAGTGGATGGTCACCCCGGCCATTCCTCGCACACAGGGGGAGATTTAGAAGGAAAATGAAACAGATAGTATGTCACAGTAAAAGAATATCCATTGTAACGAATGGAATTAAAACTAAATCTTTTAAATCTTTTAAAAATCGTTATCTTTGTGCTCTGTCCATGATATTCTTAAACTAAATCTTTTAAATCTTTTAAAAATCATTATGTTCTGGCCATGATATTCTTAGCATGCGTCTGTAGAACCACATTTCAGTAGCAACCAATTCTTTGTCTTTGTCTGGGATAAAATTGTCCAGTCACTAGCCACCAACCTCTGTCTTTGGGATAAAATTGTCCAGCATTCGCAACCATACAGCTAGATGGACAATATACACAAGACTCCAACGCAATTTCTCTTAGTTCATATGGCTGCCGCGCTGTTCTCGAGTACCATTTCCAGTTTTTTAAAAGTTTTTTTTCACCCATTCCTATACGTTTTTCGCTCTCGGTGTCGCATCTGACATCTGATAGACACATGCCTTATATAGATCGATTTAGGTACAGAAATCCCAGACAGACATGCCAGTGATATTGACAGCCCCTTCCATGACATGACAAAGCCAGCCACCTCCGGCAACACTGCATGACTAGCCAGGTGTTGGGGTCCGGGAGCGGGGCGTGCGTGTGGTGCCCCAACAAGCAGGCGGGGCATGTTCACCCTGATGATGGGGTAGCCTCGTCATGCCACATTGCTGGGAGAATGGGGCATGGGGAGTGGGGGGAAAAAAGGCGAGGGGAGGAGTGTGGGGACGAAAGTGGGAGAGAGAAAAACTGGGAGAGAAGGAGGTGGGGGAGGTGGAGGTAAGGGGGAAGGGGGGAAGGGAGGGTAGTTGGAAAAGAGAGAGGGGGGTAAGAAGGGAGAGAGAGAGAGAGAGAGACAGACAGACAGACAGACAGACAGACAGACAGAGAGAAGAGAGAGAAGAGAAGAAGAGAGGAGAGAGAGAGAGAGAGAGAGAGAGAGAGAGAGAGAGAGAGAGAGAGAGAGAGAGAGAGGAGAGAGAGAAAGAAAGAAAGAAAGACTAAGAGAGAGAGAAAGAAAGACTAAGAAAGAGAGAGAGAGAGGAATAGGAAGAAAGAGTGACAGACAGAGACAAAGGGGAAACGAAAGAGAGACAGAAGATAACAAGGAGATGAACAAACAGGCAGAGTAAAACAAAGCGAGAGACAAAGGTAATAGGTGAAGGATACGAAAGAGAGAGAGAGAGAGAGAGAGAGAGAGAGGAGCAAGTGACTGAAAAGCAAATTCAAAATTTTAAACAATCCAATATAAAATCATACATTTTTGCATAAACATAACATTATATACACGTCTATAATTCTAGTATGAATGTATGCGTTCATTAGAGTGTGCATATGTCTGTGTAGTGTATGTGTATGTGTATCCATGTGCATTTGAGTGCATGTGCATGAGTCTGCATGCATATATACGTGTTCATATATGTACATCAGTGTTCCTATAAGCACCTGAATGTCCATATACGTATGTATGTTCATATATGTATGTGAGTGTTCATACATGTATACATCTGCATAGACGCACCTCCATATTCACCAATGCATGCATAGGACGCACT